TTACCAGACCATTTGGTAAAAAAAAGAATACTCTTGAATAAAATACACATCTAGGGGAGACTACTGGTAAAAAAAAAATGAATGTGCCTAAATAAAATACACCTCTGGAGGAGACATTAAAAATTTTAAAAATCAAATATTCTTAATTAAAATTCTCATTTAGAGGAATCGATAGGTTAAAAAATATTAAATATGCCTAAATAAAATACACATATAGAAAAGACGGTTTGTAAAAAAATAATATTTAATCGCCTAAATAAAATGCTCATCTAGAGGGGACGGTTGGTAAAAATAACATTGAATGTGCCCAAATAAAATACACAGTCTGTGCGGTAAAAAAAAATGCAATACTCCTAAATCTAATACAGCGGAAACGGTTAGTAAAATTTTTAAAAAGAATTAGATATGCCTAAATAAAATACACTTCTTGAGGAGATGTTTGGTATAATTAAAAATAATCATAGCTGGTGTAGACAGTTGGTAAAAAAGTAAATAAATAGGCCTAAATAAAATACCCAGATAGATGTGACTGTTTGTAAAAGAAAAAGTAAACATTATAAATAAAAATTCGTAAAAAGAATTTATTGCAAAGTAATATTTATTTTAGGTTTCAAGGGAAGGAATTCTTGTATTATTTTTAATTGCATTAGTAATAGACATTGTTATTTCCCATTAATTGTCAAAACTCGAGGTTGGCAAATAAATCACTGTTAGGAGACGTTTGGATTACCCCCCTCCCCCAAAGAAAATTATTTTTTTTTAAATAAAAAAATGTCAGGCATTCGTCAAACTAATTAAAGCAGAGAAATCGGCATTTTTCTGGCAGTTGGACAATTTGTAAATAATATTTTTTTAATGTTCTTTTTTTTTATTCAGAACTTTTAATGTCCTTTTAAAACAACATTTGTGTGTAGATTTTAACAGGGATAGAACGCAGTTGGAACAGCTAGAAGAGAAGGCTGGATTAACTTTTTTTTTTGAAAACACAGCTAGGCTGGTTGCTTAAAAAAACCCAACCCACTGCTAGACGGGGCTAGACGAGACGTTTCGCTAACCAATAAATAAATAAATAAATAAATAACAATGTAGAGGAAACAATTGGTTTTAAAAGAAATGAAGCTAGTGAAGACGGTTGGTGAAAAAGAACAGCTAGAGGAGACGGTTGGTAAAAGAAAAACAAACATGCACAGAAGAAACGGTTGTTGAAGAAAAAAATACTCAGCTAGACGAGCCGTTTAGTAAAAAAATAAAAAATAAATTTAAAAAAAAGAAAAAAAAGAAAAGAAAAAGCACATAGAGGAGACGATTAGGGAAAAAAACTGCAGCGAGTGCAGACGGTTGGTAAAAAGACAAGAAAAAATTACTGCTAGTAATAGTGGAGACGGTTGGCAAAAAAAGAAAAAAAAAAGATAAAACTAGTGGAGACAGAAGGTGAAAAAAAAGCTCCTGGAGACAATTAGTTAAAAAAGATAATCAGAACTAATGGAGACTGTTGAAAAAAGAATATAAAAAGATTAACACATCTAGTTGACACGGTTGTAAGAAATATAAAGATTTTTTAAAAAGAACACGGTCTACTGGAGTCGGTTGGTTTTTAAAAAAAGTTATCACAGCTCGTGGAGATGGTTGGGAAAAAATTAACAAAATAAATAACGCATCTGTGTGTTGGAGACAGTTTTTAAAAAAATGAAATAAATAACACATCTAGTTGAGACTTTTAGTTAAAAAATAAAATAATAACATATAAGTGCCGATGGTTTGTCAAAAAATAAAATTATAAAATAAAGAGCACATCTAATGGAGACGGATGATGAAATAAAATAAAAATAAAATAAAATAACGCATCTAGTGGAGATGGTTGGTAAATAGAAAATTATAAGGGATAGTGAAGACAGTTGGTAAAGTATAAAATAATCAAGGAAATAACAAACCAAGTGGAGATGGTTGATACAGAGTAAAATAAAATGAAAAGCACGTCTACTTGAAACAGTTGGTTAAAAAAAAGAAGAAAAAATAATACATCTAGTGGAGATGATTGATTACAAATAAAATAATAAGATAAATAACACATCTTGTGGAGACGGGTGATAAAATGAAAAGAAAAAATAAATAAATAGGCCTAACATTTCTAGTGGAGATGGTTGGTAAAAAAAATATATTACTGGAGCTAGTGGAGACGGTTGGTAAAATGGGAAATTATTAACAAATAACACATCTAGTGGAGATGGTTAATCTGAAAACATGAAATAATCAAACAAATAACACTTCAAGTTGTTAAAAATAAGGAATGAAAACATTGTTTGGAGACGTTTGGTTTATTTTTATAAATAAATAAAAGTCTGATGTATCGTGGTAAAATCAGGCGTTTGTCAAAATAATGAAATCAAAGAAACAAACCGTTTTCTGGCTGTTGGGATAAGTAGTCTTCGGCCACCACCCGGGCAAAATTCAACATTTCCTAACAACTGAAAAATTAATGTTTAATGTATCCCGCGCGCTCGTATGACCTTATACAGTTGCAAGCGCCGTAAAATACTTACCAAAAACACCTATGAGGCAACTATGATGAGTTTCTGACAAACTGTCTTGATTGAACCAACTATAGCCGGTATAAAGGCCACAGCTCTTTCTCCCATTCCGGACCAAAAGTCTGGAACAAGGTATCCCAGAAAACCCGGGAAGCCAAGTCTTTGAATACTTTCAAAAAAAATTTGAAACATCATTTATTACTACAGGAGTATAGTAGTCCTTGCTACAGGCTTATCTATACAACATCTGATTCTATATTTTACAACTACAGCTGTGTGAGAGTGAAAGAGAGAGAACGAGAGAGAGAGAGAGAGAGAGAGAGAGAGAGAGAGAGAGAGAGAGAGAGAGACCGAGAGAGAGAGAGACCGAGAGAGAGAGAGAGAGAAAGAGAGAGACTGCTAGATCGCTGTAATACCTTTGAATACTTCTGGTGCCATTTTGAAGTGGGACATTTTAAGTAGTAACTGTGATTTTTTCTAGTGACTGTTTACGTTATTTTATTTCATCCTCATTTATAAGACTATTTACATGAATTGTTTTCTATACACACCAGCCACTGCCTACATTCCTGTCTTGACGAACCTATACATTGACATTATATTTATGTCATTTTATGAGCCGTTGGGAATAAATGGCGCTTGCATCTTTAAGCCATCATGGGATGTTTATGTTTTGTAAAGCGGACTGAGCATTGTAATTTACGGAAATGTGTTGTATATATGCCATGTATTATAAATATTGTATCCCTCTCAGCCAGCGTTGGCCCGGGCAGGCAGGGTCATTAAGCCTGCCTACTGAATTATTCAAATTATATATATTGGAGGTGTAGAAACACTTACATAATAGTACAATACAGTATGTCCTAACTATCAGGGTTGGCGGGACTAATGTAATGTGTCGTGGCCTAGAGGTTAGGCTCTCAGACTGGCAACCGTAAGGTCGTGGGTTCGAATCCCCTCAGGGGCTCGACGTTGTGTCCAGGGTGACATGGGTGACATGGGTGACATGGGTTCGTATGAGAGGACAGAAAAAGTTTTTTTTAAAATAGTAAGCGGTATGATGATCTGAGACTTCTGCTATGGCCAACCAATTTGATTAATTCTGGTAGAGAAGAATTTGCACCCGTACAGACAGTTCAGTGAGTCGGCAAAAATGCATCAGACTATAAAGCCTCGCATGACACATTATGTGACCCAGCGACAAAGTGTGTCCAATGTACTATTATAGTTTAGCGCTCATGGGCGTGTCCGAAGTCTCCCCGTGTCCGACGCTTCCCCCGCTTCCCCCGCTCTCCCTTAATTTAATCATTAGTGATAATATCAAATTTCTTTTTGTTATAGACACAAGACTATAATAACATTTTGAAATTTTGATACAATAATGCATTAAGCCGAGTCTTGTCATGCTTCACCCGAAAGGTGATTAATTTTTCACCTGGACCATTTACACTCTTACATGTATTAGATATCTAGAAAATGGTGACCTAGCTGGTCCTACAACGTTGTAACCTTGCGCAAACTCACCGTTTGTTGAGACTTTGACTGGTGTGTAATGGTGAATGTGTTATTACTTGAGTGTTCAATTCTAACACTCAGGATGAACGAAGTTGATCTTTTAACAAACAAAGATTTAGTTCTAGATTTTAGTGATATCGGTAGTCTAGTGATAAGCTATCAGACTAGTGATCGTCAGGTTGCAGGTTAAAATTCGGGGGTTCGGGCTTCAGATCCGACGCTGTGTCCTTGGGAAAGGCGCATTACACTAATGTTCCTCCCTTCACTTATAATATAGATTGTAAAGCACATAGAGTTTGCTGTTGAGCGGACATTTGCGCTAAACAGATACAATCTATTGTTATATGTTATCATTATTTTCTATTATTATTATCTATTATCTATTATCTATTATTATTATTATTATTATTATTATTATTATTATTATTATTATTATTATTATTATTATTATTAATATTATTATTATTATTATTATTATTATTATTATTATTATTATTATTATTCAATCGAAGTGACAAAAAGAAAATGAAAATAAAAGTATTAGGTCCTCACCAACCCAAGTATATTAAAATCATACGGCATCTAATATACTAGCGTGCAACTAAGTGCTACCCGATCTTCGACCTTCGATCGTCTAAGTCTAAATTAATTTTTGCGTACCCTATTTTTCTCCCCACGAGCCGCCCCTGGCTGACATGTAAATGGTTGAAGTCGAAACGTCCTATTTCCGGGCCAGGTCACCGTAGGTTTGTAATAAATGTTCTAGACTGCTTTGTCTACATAGAATCTACTCGCCGTCGGTTGCCATTCGACAACAACTTTCTGGACGTTAGGCTGCGCTAGTGCCGGTTACTGCTTGTGTTAGTGACTCTTGCTAAAGTCCACTGTCCGTTCCAGTCGTTTACCAAGTTTTAATCCAAAAGTTTAGGATTCTTTTCCTGCATTTTCTTGTGTGAAATGGCGCAGTCAAGCTTTCTCCTACGACAGGCAAAACCTGAAGACTGTGACGAAATTATGAGGCTTATTGTTGTAAGTAGGCCTAGATATTATGAAATGAAGCTCTTCAAATTCTCTGATTTTTTTCAGACCTTCAATCTTGAATCTTGAGTGGATTAATCCAGTTTATAATTTTGATGCCATGATGAATGCAGTCTCTGGGGCGCTTGAATAGACAGGATTTTAAGGGCCTTGAGCATCTTGCTCTCGTTGGCAAAATTGAAGGCAAAAGAAAAAAGAGCAACTAACTTGGAGAGTCTAAGAAACTTAAACCTAAACAGATGAGATAAAAGGTCTGGATAATGTAGCTTTTTAGCGAACATCCGAGCAAAGGAATGAACGGAGAATGTGGGCGATGATTGCTGATGCCTGTCATTTGGTGATTTTGATTATATTATGATTTGTTGGTCCATGCTTTTTATAAACTGTCCTAATAGTTCCGGATTGTAATGAAATGTCTTGTCTAGGCTACACTGTACTTTAATTTACACAATGTGTTTTTTGCCAACAGGAACTTGCTGACTTTGGGAAGATGGCACACCTAGTCCACATAACTGCTGACAGTAGGCTACGTCCTTTGGAGTTTGCTCTTTTATTTTTTCCTTCTCTCTGTTATGCTTGGTTAATTGTTTTTACTTCTTATACACAGTTTTGAACCGTTTTTTGGGATCACAACTTGCGCAGAATTCAAATTGCTAAGAATAGGCCTACCTTATCATCTTTTCTCCCTTCAATAATCTGTCATGCCATAGCCAATTAACAGTGTATATTGAATATATTGAAATACAAAAAGAATGATACGGAAAGAAAATTTTGGAGCCATAACCCTGGAGTTGTTGAGAATGTATGAAAATATAGATCCCATATTGCACACTAAGTTTAATCTTTGATATTTTTCCTGATCCTGTTTGAAGTACCGTTTAGGAAGTTCCGGTTTACATTTTTTTGCTTTGTTCTTGCAAAACAGTAATCCCAATAGCTTTGTTTCCCCAAAGAATGTATTTTTTCCCCTCACTATCCCTGTTTTTTCTTTTATACAAAGAATATAATTATTTACTTTGCTTTCTTTTCCATTCAGCTCTGAGGAAGGACATGTTTGCAGAAAAATCTCTCTGTTCTTCCATTGTTGCTGAGCTGGCTGGTTCAGGTCAGTATGTCGAGGTTACGTTTCTTTCACTGCAATATACATGTATGTCAAGTGATGGGAAAAAAAGGAAAAGAAAAGACGCTTCATTTCAATCCACTCCAGTGGGAAATTAAGGTTACAATGACATTAATGTTGTATATATATATATTTTTTATTTTTTTAAACGTATGTCTGGCACCAAGGTGGAATCAGACACTCATCAATATACATGTAATGAAATCGACGAAACCAACAATTTTTTCAGGTCAGTGGGCAATTTTTATTGAATTTAATTTTTTTGGCTCAACATTTTTTTTATGTCTATTGAAAAACACATTTCGTTGTGGCTTTTACTGAAAGCTTTGATTAAAGACCCCCCTCCTGAGTAAATGTTTAGTTTCCATGGACACTGAAACTTTGGATTCACCACACTTTGGCTGCCATTTTTTTGCTTACTTTATCGCTGAACTCTGACACAATGCGCCCATTCTGGACAAGTATCTGGACTTTTACTTCTATTCAAGATAGATGTGTATTCTTTTCATCAAGAGCAAGACAAATGAACAAGCTTTAAGATGATACCATGCCAAAAACTGCCATTTTATAGCAGGTTTTGTTTGTCATGCAGAACCCAGGCAGCTGATTGGCTACTCGTTGTTTTTCCCGATCTATTCTACCTTGGACGGAATGTCCATGTACCTGGAAGACATTTACGTCACTCCGTCGCAGAGAGGGCAGGGTCTGGGGAAGAAAATGTTGCTACATGTCACGAAGGTATGACCTAAGATGTTCTTTGTGAAAATGCTAGGGGGTGAATTGAGTAGCTCTCACTTCTCCTAATATTTTTATAGCTTTGAAAATCTAAAGGGGAGAGGGAGTAGTGAGATGATTATAAAGTCATTTCTCATGTCTTTTTAAGGGGTGGGGAGGGGGGTGATTATTTTTCAACTATTTCTTTTATTTTAAAAAAAAAATTTAAAGGAGGGGGAGAGGTGTGACAATTTCTCTTCTTTTTTGTGTTCAAAGGGGCAAGGATAATTTCTTCTTTTGCATTAGTGTCACTGACCATGTCTTTATCTTTGGGATGAGTCTCATTTTTTACTCATTTCCCCAACTCATCTGCCACTCCTAAGAAAGCAGTTTGTAAAATTTGTGTTGTCGTGGAGCCGTTTGGCTCCGTCTCACATTCCTAGCGAAATGACATTTTTCTCCTCTCTGTACGTTTACACCTGAGAGATGGCCATTTTAAAGTGCCTTGGAATATAATATACAGCTCAGTGTTGCAATATTACAGTTCAGCGAAGATAATCATTTGAGCAGAAAAAAAATGTTTAAAAAGAAAAAAGAGCATTCATCGATGCTGGGAAGTTTCTCAAAAAGATTAACCATCAGAACCAGTAAATTGTAAGTACCTATTGTTTCGCAATTTAAAAGAAAAGACGTGCTGAATCTTTGTAGGATAGCTTCTGAAAAAGATTTATTCTTATTAAGTTCATGAACTGTCCTGATTTTTCATACCTCCACGACTTTTTCTCAATGTAAGTACAAAAATGGCAAAAAGTTGCACAAAAGTTGCTATTAATTTTTCAAGCTTTCAACTCTCTGCGACGACGTATATAGCAATATGTTGATAGAGATAACTTCATCTAAAACACCAGAATTTCTTGTGCTCTGTTTTAAGCATCCATAATATCATTTGCAGCCACACAGAGTGTGTAGTTTTAGTAGAGGTTTTACGGCGATCGCAATTGTAATGTATAAGGTCATATGAGCGCCAGAAGATAAGAAATGTTACAAGAGAGTAACAAACATAAATAAGAAGGGGAGATTAAGACTGATAGATGTTTCACAGGAAAGAAGAAGCACACCACATCAGAGCACCCGCCAACCATCCACATACAGAGTGTAAAAACGTGAACAATAAAAGTATCACAACAGAATGAAATCAAAATTAGAACTGCAAATAAACAACCACAAAAATTAACAAATAAGGGCGTGTGTCAACAACCCATCCATAGACTGGCCGTGTTAACCCTAAACGTGGGTAATATTATTCAAGAAAAAGCACAGGATATTAGATATTAGATGTAAATTCTGGAATCACACACAAGGGGCCTACCAGTGTCAGTATTCGTTTTTGGTGGCGACACGCAGCAACATAACTATAACACATTTTTAAAAAAAGATAGGAAGAACATTACGCTATATAAACACACACACACACACACACACACACACACACACACACACACACACACACAAGGAAAAACAACACATCGGAACAATAAAGAGAAAAAGAAATTAAAAGACCAACAAAATAAAACACAACAAAGAGGGAAACATGAAAGAGAAACAGCAATATAAATAGTATGCAATGTAGCCTACTTATATTCTTCACATGAAAATTACAAATCAACGTAGTGTTAACAAGTGAGAAAGAGACGAAGAGAAGCGAAAGTGAAAATAAACTTTCTTTCTAAAAAAGTGAAGAGGTTTGGTTTCTTTTTTTTTCACGAATATTATTCCAAGTTTTTAATTTATTTTTTAAAAATGTATTTTTTCTTCCCGGCGGAGTTTTTTGTTGGAAAAATGCAAAAATCGCGGCCGCGATTCGCGGACCAAAAAGGGCCAAAAATCGCCTGCGCGTTTTGCGGGTCGCGGCCGCGACAAACGCAGATGCTAGGTAAGTGAATATCCCGTAACTCATTTTTTTCATTCCTCGGTATCTCCACAGGCTGCTTTTGATCTGAATTGTCAACGTTTGCATCTAGCTGTGCTGAACTGGAATAAGTTTGCCAAAGATTTCTATATTCGTTGTGGTCTCATCGATGTGACGGAAACTGAGGACTGGCATCTGATGAGGATGAAGAGGAAAGAGATAGAGAACTTTGTAAAAGATCCCAAAGTCAAAGACTAGCAGCTTCCATTTGACTTGTTTTATGTCAAGCAGAACTCTAGAGCTGTTAATTGATACCGCATATAATGTGCTTACATCAGCAATTATTTTTACACGCAGGATTGCTTCAAACAATTCGTCGCCTGTCACACGAAAGGGCATATCCCTGTTTTCTTACTTTTTCAGAACGATTTAAAGATTTTCAGACTTTGGTTGCTTCATCCTTTTCCCTTGTCATTTTAGTAAACTGCATCCTACCATCGGGATATTTGGATATTGTGGGCATGATCAGATATCAAACAACGACCAAGATTAGTTTTGCACTGTTTTTTATAATTTCACTGCGAAAATGTGCCATCTGATGGCATACGCCCTTTCGTGTGATTGTTCTTTTTTGTCTTGTCCAAAATCAGTGTATACGCCCATGTATACACCCTGTGTTTGAGTGTCCACACCATTAATTTCAGCCTTCAGACTGACAAGTAGAGGATAAAATTCCTCCAAGACATCACTCCTCACCCCCCCCCCCCCCATTCCACCCGCCAAACCTTTCCCTTTCTCTTCCCCTCCCCATACCTCTGTGTCTGTCTGCCTGTCCGTCTGTCTGTCTGTCTGTCTGTCTGTCTGTCTGTCTGTCTGTCTGTCTGTCTGTCTGTCTGTCTGCCTGTCTGTCTGTCTGTCTGTCTGTCTGTCTGTCTGTCTGTCTGTCTGTCTGTCTCTCTGTCTGTCTGTCTGTCTGTCTGTCTCCTCTTGTAAAAAAACCAAAGCATTTTCATGTGAAATTGGCAAGTATATGACCTGCTGGGGATCAAAGTTCCCTGCCAGAATGCTGCGGTCAGCTTGAACCATCTTCTTGCAATCCTCCCTAAGTTGTCCTTCCATTTGTTTTTCTGCATCGTGCCTGTTTTAAATTTCACTGAGTTCATTTTTCTGTGCTTCTTCCACTTTTCGGAAAGAGTTGCAGAGTGAGCATTGGTCCTTTTTAAGGACTATGAAAGGCCAGGTTTTTTTTGTCTTGAACACTCGTCTGAATGTGTGAAAACCTGGGATGTCATTGCATGGATTTTTTTTCCTCGGACATGTACCTTTTAGACAATGTGAGGTCTGGGTTGAGATACTCTGTGCTGGAAGAGGCCCTGCAGTAGTACGATTCCACGCGTAGAAATCTGTCAATGTGTTGACTGGTCGTCTCCCTGAATTGTTCTTCTCTTGTCTTCATCAGCTCCGATTGCCCCCTCGTTTGTCTTCCTCCACAATGCCGGTCTCCGTAATCTTTGACAAAACAACTTGGGCACATTTCTCTGAAATACTCAAGGTTGCAAGGAATGTGTTCCTACACACTTTCAAGCGCTTTCCTTTGACTGTGATGTAACAAGCATGCGTTATGCTGCGTCGAGAGTTTGGTTTCCCGACCTTGGGCTCTGTCGTCACAATATGCCACGCAACGAACTCTCGCTGCTTCTGCAGGTCAGCCAGTTTATAAACTGTCCTGAAAAAGTCCTGAAATATCTCCCTCCTGTCCTTTCCTGGGAAACGCAGCCCTTTCTCATCATTCGTGCTGGAACAACCTTTTTCGTGTCGGCGCTCATGTACTATTCGCCACATTGTTGCTTTCTTTTTGCATCGTTCTTCGAGTTGATTCTTTTCGTTTCTTTGGCGACGCCTGGCGGGCTTACCCTTCAACTTCAAATGATTCTGGTAGCCGTTCGTTGCTACTGTAGGTTTCATCGGTCTCAAAATCATTGTGCACTATGGATTCAGAGTTTGTTGATTGCCCTGTCTTTCCTTTTGACTACAAAATACTGGAACTTCTAGGAAATGATCCGTGTCCGAATCATCGAAGTCACCCAGACCAAGAGACGTGTCTTCATTCTCTGCCTCGTGTTGATCAGGAAATTCAATTGTCATTGTAGGCCTACATTTCAAAGTTTAGCTAACGGAATGGCATCTGACAAAGTCGGAATCACTTTCATTGAAATGCTAACTTGCCATTCTGGGCCTAAAACACAATAAAAATCCCGATAGTCTTGAGTACAAGCTAAAGAACAATTTAGGTTTGAGTTTCTTGTGTGTGTGTGTGCGTGCGTGCGTGTGTGTGTGTGTGTGTGTGTGTGTGTGTGTGTGTGTGTGTGTGTGTGTGTGTGTGTGTGTGTGTGTGTGTTTGTGTGTGTAAAATATAAAGATTTAGGAGCTACTTACACGGCTCACCAAGTAGACATGTCTTCGGATCAATACAACAAAGTCTAAGTCCTGATGTTTTTGTCACTTCTGTCAGCAGCACTGCCCTGGGGGGGGGGGGGGTCTAGATAGCGTTGCCTTCTAGTTAATGAGTGTAGAATAATACGCTAATGGAAAAACATATATATATAGCCGAGCAATATCCATGTGTATCGTTGGACAAAAAGCAGATCTGATTAATATTTGATCAAACCCAAGTTTGCTTTTTAAAATGGTTTCCAATAGTCAGCAGACAAGCAGATTACGTTGTGTGTGAAGTAAGCTGCAAGCAACAGTAACCACTTGTAGGCTAACAAAACAATAAGGACCGCCTCATTTTCACTCTTGCACAAGCAGGATTCGCAGCAACACAAGGCGTGTGCTCTGTGTTGTGTATCAGGCCTATTGCATCATTAGAGGAGGGCCTAGTATTACTATGATATTACGTTATACGGCCTTGGCCTATGCCAGAAAAAAAAAGACAAAAGTGTTCCTGTCGCTGACACGAAGGGGCGTATCCAAGGTATAAGTCCTTTCGTGCGAATAGAATTGATAAAACTTTGTATCATTTTTTTTTGCACACGAAAAGGCCTAAGCCTGTGTACGCTGTTTCGTCTGATTCGGCGGCGCTGAGTGTTAGCGTACGCCCTTTTTGATTTTTTACTGCTAGTACTGTAATTTTAAAGCTAGGGATACGCCGTTTCGTGTGAACATAGATCTGAGGCAGCGCTATCTAGAATCTACTAGCAGTAACAACTCAAAACTGCCAAAATCTGGAATACGCCTTTTCGTGTGACAGGCGATGAATTGTGAAGGGGGCTCTCATGGCCTAGAGGTTAAGATGTTCGCCTCTCATTCCAAGGTCCCGGGTTCGAATCCGGGTAGCGACGGAAAAATTTTCTTCTCTAAAATGGTCTCCTTTTGTCTTCTTTCCTTCTCTCTTGCAATATCCTGCCGTCTGCCTTCATCTCCACTTTGTTCCCCCACCCCCTCACCCTCTTTGCACCCTCCACTGGGCTCCTGACAGTTTCTGCAGCCTTTCTACTGCAACTCCTTGGCTCCTTCTTACTGCTGTCTTTCAGCCACACCCCTGATCTTCTGGTAGGAAAGATCTACCCCTAGCCTTCTCGGACAAGGGCGAACAATCTCGGTGCAAGTTACGCAGTGGTCCAAAATCGATAAGAGTAGGCTTCCGCCGCCACCCGGGCAAAATTCAATATTTCCTACCAATTGAAAATGTTTGGTGTGTCTCGTGCGCTCATGTGACCTTATGCAGTTGCGAGCACCGTAACCCCCCCCTAAAAAATGTGAGGCAGGGTGACAGAATGAGTCACTTCTCACAACCCATGGATGGAGATGTCGGAGGAAAATAGATACATCTAGTCTGTAGATCAGGAACTGATGCCATTTTCTTGAAGTCTAACATGGCGTTTATCATTTCTTATCATAAACCGTACAAACTCAATCTATAATTTTGATGCAACTATCTGTGTCCATGGGGCTGAAATCCGAGAATTAACTCATTATGTTAGCGCACCTCACGAATGGGCGTACTTTCTATCTGCCTAGGAATCTATGAAGCAACAAATGCAATCCACAATTTTCTGTGGTCTGATACATACAGGTACATGTATCTCTAAGAAGTGTGCCTTTCTGTAATGGGGATATAGCCTCCTGCTACTGCCTTGTTTAGGTTTTGAGTGCCAATACTTCACGAAGAAATTATCAGTTTTCCTATATTGATATATGTGACTGATACATGCGGGTCCCGTAGAAAAAAGAGAATTGAGGAATGAAACAGATCTTCATTGAACTAAATTCCACGTGACGGTTTCTCTGGTTCTGTTGTCTTCTAGACATTATGGTACAGTCGACTACGGATGAGCTGATGTGGTTTGGGGAGTGTAAAAAAGATCTAGTCGTCTGAAGTTCAACTTAAACGTTGGGATCTGTGAAGAAGAAGAGGTGCTAGGACTCGAGAAAAAGATCAACTTAATGGAAAATCAACACAAGCGAGTTCAAGACAACAAAAGCGGAGTCGACTGTACCAGCATCTGAGAGATTAAACTTACGCCGGTGCTTCTCAACCTTTTCGCAGCCAGTGCCCACGTTAGCTACCTCTTGAGAGGTTAAAATGTATGTACCACCCACCTTCATGTATTTCCAAGCGCAGTATTAAATACCTTCCGTCACTACCTGGATGATTTCCTACAATGTAATACCAAACCACCCACTAGTGGGTGAAATCACCCAGGTTTTAAAGCCCTGCCTTACAGTATGAAGGTGATGAATGTTTTTCAGGTGTTGTATTATTGTTTATTGTGCTTGTACTAAATCCAGGTTTGTTTTTGTTTTTGGGACACAGCAGGGAGTCGACACATGGTCAGGGGCTTTTGTTTTTTAAATATTTTTAGATTATGTTATGACAAGGGCAGTCTTTATTCATCTCACAGGGTGAAATTTGTGTTTGTTGTTTACAATGGCAATGGTACTATTAAGTTAAATTCATGTGCACTCACGTATGCAAAGGACTGGGAAGGACCTAATTAATATTACATGTACCTTTGCACTGTAAACAATCTCTCTCTCTCTCTCCCTCCCTCCCTCCCTTCATCTCTTGATATTGCCGTGGTTTATTTTTCTGTACCTAGATGAATGTATTTTTATAAACCTGTTCACTCTCATAGTACATTATTTGAATTTTTAAAAATTACTGTATCATATTTCTATAGAACAGAAAAGATGTTGTGGGAACCAAAAAAATGTTGCACATGTATTATTGGTGTGATTATGTTTCTGTAGGG